CTGCATTGCTTCTCATCTGTCTGACAATGTTGTGGATCTCCTGCAAATCTGGAACAGACAGGGTGAATTCATCATTGACAAGTACCTGATGTGGAATGGTCCCAAGCTGATCATCATCTGTGCTGCCATAGGTACCATGCGGATTAATAGAGGTAAAGATTTCAGGGTATCCGCCAGCTACTCAGGGGTGGTGGAGGTGGTTCCATCGGGGTTCTGGAGATGGGTGATGTGATTTCTCCAAGCTCTCTTTAGGATGGACTGATGGAAGAAAGATGTGTTTCTATCTCCTTTGATAACCTAGGTTTATTTGTATCTCTGTCGGTGGAAAATTTCTTGCTTGGCTAGAATCATGTGGTGTTGATGGGTGAGATCAGATTGGAGGCTATGATTTTGTAGTTCCCAATACGAAGTTATGCTAGCTGCGGAGTCGCGAGCTGCGAAATGTAGGCGGATGCCGGTTCCTTCCCCTCTACCCCACCGATTCATCGAATCCTAATCCCCCACGCATCCATCCCTAAATCCTACCCCAAATCGCATCCATCCCCAAATCCTACCTCAAATCGACACATGATCTGCAATTCAGATCGACACTATCCTAAAAAAACCAGTCAGATCAACACCATCTCCATCGGCAGTCATCTGCATTCGGAAACTCTCATCGTCCTCACCTTGCATCGACGATCTTGGGAGAAATCCTCCAAATTCCTCCACATCTGGTCTGCAACCAGCTCGTGCAATCTGCCATCGTCTGCACCCGCTGGATCGTGCAGGGTCCTGTAGCGACGAGAGGATACATACCTCTGGCCACCGCAGACCTCGCCGGAGGAGTGACGAAGGGGCCGAAGTCTAGAACAACTCGGGAGGTGCTCTCAAGGCAGGTTGCTGTCGGCTTTTGGCTCCAACGCAAGCTTGATCTTGCTGTGGCACCAGCCTGCAGCAAGCTCCAGCCCGCTGCGCGCATCAGGTGGAAGAGGTGCACCGCGAACACCCACGCCGCTGCGCAGACTTTCTCAGCGCAGGACATCATCAGCTCTGCCGGCAGCAAGCCCCTGGGGCCGTCCTGCTTGGAGTGGCAGTGGTGGCCCCCTCGATTTCTTCAGCTGTCTTCGCTCCAGGCATTGGGCGCCTGGATCTGAATGCTGGGCTACGCCTACGCGTCCAACACCCTCAACACGTGCGCCATGACATTCCTGGCGTGAACCGCCGGGGCATGGGCGGCAGCCCTAAAATGATGCACCTCAACCGTCTCAGGTGTGTTATGGATGAGACGCGGACGGACGAGGATATTCACATGTTAATTAGCATATGTTTTGTATGACAATTAGAATATGCTAATTAACATATTTTATTTTTAATTAGTGATTATAATGACAAGATTAGTGTAAGTGCATATTTATTAGGATATAATTAGTTGTTATTATTTTTAAATAATAGATATAATTAGTCAAGTATTCTTATCCCATACAATCTTATCCATCCAACCAAACAGAAAAATGACTCGTCTTATTCATCTAACCAAACAAAAAATATGGATATCTATATCCCGATATCTATGGATGGTCATATCTCATCCATTTTTGTCCTCAAACCAAACACACCCTTATCTTATGGACCAAAGCGCAGAACTTGAAATACTAGAATCATTAACACTACTGTTACAAATATTTCGTTGTTGACCATGCTTGTATCGTTCGTGCTCAAGGCCTTTCGGGTGGGCTTTTGGCTGCTCTGAAAGCAAGAAGTAGAAGTAGATGTAGGCCCTGTTTTCAGCGACGGAGGCGGCGGTGGGGCTTGCCCCCTACCAATCCTAGGCACGTGGAGCCTCTAAAGTTCTCTTTTAAAATTTTATGCATATATGTATTAGGTAGGAGGAGCTAAAGCTAAGAGAATATAAAAAACATTTATTCTTTTATTCAGCCCTTTTTAATTTTTTTTCTGGCTTCGTCCCTACTGTTTTGTGGGGTTTTTAGTTGTGGCTTTTGTTTCTAAAAACTAAAAGCTTAATTAAAGGGCTCAAAAGTCATATTTGCTCTTGCCTAAAAGCAACTTTTACTGTGGTACAAATCCAAAATCACCTATTTTCCTGCTATCAGTTATTTTTGGATAAAAAATTATCCACCTGCCAGTATGAGATACCGTTTCGTTTTTTTTTTCTATTCTGTCCGCAGCGTGTCTCGCGAATAGGAGAGGTCGCGTCCGGGCTGGCGGCGGCGCCCAGCCTTCACCGGCGGACTGATCCGGCGACCTCGCGTCGCTGCCCTTCACCGGCGACGTGGCACCCACGGCCCGCTGCTTCCTCCGTCGCGCGAGGTCTCATGGGCGGCCGCACAAGGTCCGACTCCCTTCCTCCATGGCCGGCGCAAGATCTCTTCTTCCCCTCCGCTTCCCTTCCTCCATGGCCGTCGCAAGCTCCCTCCCTTCCTCTATGGCCGTCGCAAGCTCCCTCCCTCCGCTTCCCCACCGTGGGCGAGCGCGGGCGAGGCCGCCGTCGCGGGCTCCGCCGCTGCCGTGACCGAGCGCGGGGGAGGTTGCCGCCGGGGGCTCCGCGGTCGCCGTGGCCGAGCGCAGGCGAGGCTGCCGCCGCGGGCGAGAGCGTGCAGGACCGCCGTGGGCTCCGCGGTCGCCGTGGCCGAGCGTGGGCGAGGCTGCCGAGGGCGGGCGAGGCCACCGCCGCGAGCCTCGAGGCTGCCGCGGTCGAGCACGTGCAAGGCCGTCGGCGAGTGTGGGTTCCGGCGAGCGCGTGGGCTCCGGCGGTGCAGCTTGGGAGATGGGTGCGGGAGGGGGAAGAAGCCACGAGGATGACGAGTGGTGTCTGCTATAAGTGGGACAGACTGGCAATAGTTTTCTGACAACACATGAATTTTTTTAATCTCTCTTGCTCCCTCTTTTCAACTGTCTTCGCCGGCTTCTCTTCACCCAACGCTGGTACGTCCGCGTATGACCGTACGTGACTCTGCCTAGAATCTACGATGTATATATATATATAGGAGCAGCTAGCCGGGCAGGCATATATACAGTACTGTACAGATATACTGCTACTGTACGTGCTCTTGAAGCGCGCGCGTAGATTTGTTCTCTTGTGCTTGTATAGAAAAAAAATTGTTTCTTGTGATACGTGGATCTATGGATCATGATATATGATCTTGTGATTTGTGATTATCTGGAGGTAGAAGAAAGCTTCGAGGTAGAAGGAGGATGGAGGCTATTAGATCTTAATTTTATAGTGTAAAAAATCCATGTGTTAAAACTATATAAACCACATAGTTATTGGATAAATAGACTCTTTCTCAAAAACGACAGCTGCTACGTCAAACGTTTGGGCTTTTCTCACAGGTCATATCTCAAAACAGCCTTTTCAAAAATCATAACTCACAGCTGTTTTTCTAAAAGCCAGCTTAACCAAACCGGGCCGTAGTTACCGCTGGCCAAATTTTTATCCTTGCTTTCTGTGTACATAAGCAAACCATGAAGAAATTTGGCTTAATATGGATGTAGGGTGATCCTCGTCACCAAAACACCACTGGTATTTGGTCTTAGGTGCAAGTTTTTTGTTGTAACATATCCTGACTTGCCTATGTTCTGCATGGGGGACTTAAATAACATTATGAATGCTAATGAAAAGTTAGGGCCTAGTCAACTCATGCTAGACGTATATCTGATTTCTGTTGCATGATTAAAATTTGTGGTTTGTTTGATCTGGGATATAATGGGTCTGCTTACACTTGGACTAACAAATGTTCCAGCTCTAATCCCACTTATGAGCATTTGGATCGTTGTTTAGGTAATGAGCCTGTTCGTTGGTTGGTTTCTAGGACTGATAAGTCCGGCTGGTGTTAGTTTGTTGTGAGAGAAAAACACTGTTGGTTGCCTGATAAGTTCTAGCTGAAACCAACGAGCGAACAGACGAATGTAGAATGGTATACAGCTTTTCCTACCACCACGGTCTATCATCTCCCAATGATGCGAAGTGACCATGCGCCGATTCTCGCAGTTCTCGACTCCTATCGTTATAAAACTAAAAAAAAAAAATCAGATTTGAAAACTGGTGGCTTTTGGAACAGGATTTTCAGCAGGTCGCTCAGGAAAGCTGGAAGAAATCCCATCGACGTACCTTCCATAAAAAAAACCAGATACTTAGCCACTGATCTCAAAACTTGGAGAAAAACCAAACCCAAGCTTACCGACCAGCTAGAAACAATTGAACAACAACTCCTCCAGCAACAGACTAAGCCTCCACCTGATTCCATTATTGAGTGACCTGATTCCATTATGAAAACGGGCGAGCACTAGACGCGTGGACGTCCACGCGCTAGTCTCTCCTAATTAACGTGCTGTCTACAGAAACACCAATCAAACCATTATCGCCAACAATGCCAATAATATACGAGTCCATGCATACTTCACTCTTGAGCTTGAAACGTTCTGCTATGCAGAGCGGACAGCTCATGGGCATTTTCCTTTGTTAGTTCTGATCGAGCCGACAGAATAATAGGCTAATTTGCCACCATTAAGATCTGTTCGTGTAGCATGTCTGACAACAGGCTGGGGCAAACTAGCAACTATCATGCATCAAAAGTACGTGAATACCTCGTACGTTCACTGCTATTTAAGCATGCTGCGTGCAAATATTCCTCATGCTACTCCATCAAGTGTGGCGTAGGACAATTAGCCGTATCAGCAGGATGCTTCATATATTCACCATGCATGCAAATTGGAAACAAAACAATGCCCAAACGGCCAAACGTGAAATGGAACTCCCGGACTCACAGTTGACTGAAACAGGACAACAACATCTCCCCTGAATCTCTGGCTCCTCCAACTCCAAGTCTCCAATGCATGGCATCAGTGTGCCGGTACGAATTCCAACACTACCGCGCGCCAAACTCGCTCACCTGTTTCACTCATCACGCCCCTTCGCCCTCCATCTAAACTCACCATCTCTTATAAATCCCCTACATCGCAGCTCCTCGCTTCCAAACCCCTGGCAACACCTTGCAACCATGGCGTCCACTCGCTGCGCTCATCTCCTCACCATCTCCATTCTGCTGCTACTACTGTGTCATCTAACACGCGCATTCCCACTGCCATCACCACCTTCTGCGTCGTCAAGCGCCGCCTCCCCGTCGCCTCCTCCTCCGGTGCTGCCGCCACTACCGCGAGGCCTACCACGGCTCATACCGGCGTGGTCGCTGCCCGTGAACCCGTTCACGGCGAAGGCGGCGTTCATCCGGTACTGGAACCGGAAGGTGCGCGGCAACCGCCCGCACCCGGCCTTCCTCTTCGCCAAGCTGTCGCCGCTGTCGGTGCCGGACGCGGCCACCTTCTCCACCCTGGCCTCCGCGGGCAAGCTCGCCTCCCGCATCCGAGACTTTTGCGCCGCGGCGTCCCTGCTCTGCCCGTCCACCCCCGCGGCGTCCTGGTCAGCGGCGTCGTCCTCGTCCGTGGACGGTGCCGCCGGCGGCGTGGCGGCCTCCTCCTCCGCCGCCGGCGGCGGCGGCGGCGCTGCCTCCGCCGCGCCGTTCAAGAACTACGAGAACGGCAACTTCAGCAGCTACGGCAACAGCGGCGGCGGCGGCTCTGACCAGTTCGCGGTCTACTCCAGCGGGAAGAGCGGACCCGTTGACTCGTTCAAGCAGTACGGCAAGGGCTCGCTGGGCCGGAACGACTCCTTCGCCAACTACGAGGAGGGGGGAAACGTCGGCACCTCCAGCTTCAACTCCTACACCACCGGAGCCACCGGCGGCGCCGGGGAGTTCGCCGGGTACGCTGGACAGACCAACACGGTGGCGGCGACCTTCGCCACCTACGACAACACCGGCAACGGCCGCACGCACGAGTTCACGGCCTACTCGCAGGACGCCAACTCCGGCGTGCAGAGCTTCACCGGCTACGGCAAGACCGCCAACGGCGCAAGCGAGTCCTTCAAGACCTACGGGAACAACTCCAACACCGTCGCGTCCGGCTTCATCAACTACGGCCAGAAGGCCAACGGCTTCAACGACACGTTCGCCTCCTACGGCCTCGACGGGAACGCGCCCCAGAACACGTTCCGGAGCTACGCCTCCGGCAGCAACGCCGGCATCGACGAGTTCAAGGCGTACAGGGACCAAGCCAACGTCGGCGACGACAGCTTCACGTCGTACGCGAACAACGCCAATGGCGCGGCCGCCGACTTTGACAGCTACGGCAAGTCGACCAACCCCGGGAGCGTGGCGTTCAAGGGGTACGGCCAGGGGTCCAACCCCAACCACCGCATCGGCTTCACGCAGTACTCCGGCGAAAACACGACGTTCAAGGCCTACTCCAACGAAGGCGTCGAGTTCAAGGAGTACCAGAACATGTCAAAGATGGAGGTGTCCAAGACGGCCGCACCGGCGGCGACGACGGCGCCTGGGCACCGGCTGCCCAAGTGGTCGCCGGAGCCAGGGAAGTTCTTCCGGGAGCGGGACCTCATGATGGGCAACCGAATGCCAATGCCGGACATCGCCGACAAGATGCCGCACCGCGCGTTCCTGCCGAGGGACATTGCCACCAAGATCCCGTTCGAGGAGAACGCCGTGTCGGCGCTGTTCGGAGCGCCGCCGGGCACGGCAATGAGGCAGGTGGTGGCGTCGACGGTGGCCGAGTGCGCGCGACCGCCCAGCCAGGGCGAGACGAAGCGGTGCACGACGTCGGCCGAGGACATGCTGGACTTCGCGGTGGAGATGCTGGGGAGCAACATCGCGGTTCGCAGCACGGAGTCCACGGCGGGCAGCGGCAGGGACGTCCGGCTCGGCAAGATCACGGGCATCGCCGGCGGCAGCGTGACGCGGTCCGTGTCGTGCCACCAGAGCCTGTTCCCGTACCTGGTGTACTACTGCCACTCGGTGCCGCGGGTCCGGCTGTACGAGGCGGACATCCTGGACGTGGACTCCAACCGGAAGATCAACCATGGCGTGGCCATCTGCCATCTCGAGACGTCGGATTGGAGCCCCAATCACGGGGCGTTCATGGCGCTCGGTGGAAAACCTGGTCAGATTGAGGTCTGCCACTGGATCTTCGAGGGAGACATGGCTTGGACCCTTGTTGATTGATGACACCACAACCGTTAGATTTGGCCTGGTTTATTTACCTCCGCTTACTCCTCTCATCTCAATTAAAGAAATACCAACCTTGTTTGACTTCTTCTCTATTTAATTTAGAAAGTTTTTTTTGTGACCAAATTGACTTCATCAGTATATAGCACATAAAAAAAATAGTACGTGAGATCACAGGTGGGTAAAGTGGTGGTTCGGAAGCACCTTGTGCATGCTAAACTACATTGCAAGTGAATTGTTGTCTTGTTGGCATATGGAGCGACCAACTAGGTAGTAGCTTCCAAACTCTGATTAATAAATCAGTAACAGTCTAACAGAAGCGTGATCTTGTTTGAACAGCAAGTGATCTATCTCCTACTGTCCTACACATGTAGCTCGGACTCTTGGTCTTACTTTATCAACATGGCACTGGAAAAAAATGAGCCCACCTTCAGCTAAGGAACTTTAATTTATAAACGACTATTCACTCTCCTCTAATCGGCCATCTATCTCGATCTTACACCAATCCGTGCAACCATCTATTTATCACTATATGATCCGCCGGGTGATACTATGCAAAGTGTTTCTCTACACTATCTCATTTGTAATCTTCACTGACAGATCCGACACCCTATGATCGAGTGATTCGGTTCTCTCTCCACTGCTTCTGCTTGATTCTTCATGGTTTCTTCTCTTCATTTCGCACACTTTATTGACCCCTTGCATCCCTAGGATCTAAGTGAGTATCACATCTTTTCGACGCATCTTAGTACATCCCGGCAAGCACTTCCCCTCGGTGCGCGCCGGACGTCCGACCCTAGGCCTGCCATCCGGACGCTGGTCTCTCTGTTACGACCTCTCTTCGCCTCTCCGCTCCGGCATGCGCCCCTCACGTAGGTTGTGCCCGCGCATGGAGAGAGAGCGCCACCGCGCGCCCCACGTCACCGCCGATTTTGTTGATTTGTTGGTGGATTTTGAGTCATGAGAGCAATGCCAAGAAATCGGGGTTCTTGGTTTGACATCCTCGGATCTCCCAAACCTAGCTGACGATCATGCATGATACTCCGCCCATATTTTGTGTAGCGTCCATCCCGCTCTGAGAGTGTAGCGTTTGATTCCATATGGAGCTCCCTCGCTTGCGCCCGACGCATGTAGCTCCCTCGTCCCGCACCCATCGCCCATCCCTCAGTTCATATGGATGCCCTACCGGCTCCGGGAGAGACGATGCAGCATAAGGTAGGAGGAGGAGAGATGCAACACCCGACCTGCTTTTGAAACATCCAAATATAACCTTAGATACATCTATGAACATATGTGTACCTGTGTCAAGGCAGTTGAAACACTTGAAAAACATACCTGAAACACACTTGAAAACCATTGCTACACAACATCCGAATAAAACACATGCAATATGTGTGGAACATATGCAACAACCAAATAAAAATAATTACAACATGCAATGAAAGGATCCAGAAGATGAAACAAGGTTGGTATCCATAACTTGTCATACATAGGTCTCATGCACTTAGTGTCAATTCACTTGCACTTATGTTTTTTAATTAGATCAAGGTACCATAGGAGCAATTGATGGTACAGTGTCTCAGAAGATGCAAGTGGGCCTTTTTCACACAAAACCCACAATTAGGACTTCAAATTCACCTGGTCTTTGATAAACCGAGAAAGTGGAGGCAAAGGTGAGGTACATGATTTTAGGAAACTCATGTATTAGCTAGACAACCATCACACAACACTTCAAATTCACCTATGTGCTTCTTTGGTTGGGAGGATCTCGCACATGATGCTCTTATCTTGTCTCGATGCTCTTGAAAGAGATGATGGCCTTAGAGTGCCACCGTGTATCATCCAAACCAAAAAAAAAACTTTAACACTTTGCTTAATCCTAAATGAAACTACTAAAACACAACAATGCAACATATGCAACATCTCGATCTACTTTTGTAACATCCGCATGAAATAATTGCAACATACCTATGAAACATCTGAAACACTTGAAACAAACTCTTGCAACATGCGCTTTCAAGCACAACATCTACTTAGATGAATGACCAGTACAACTCCACATCAATGATAATGCTCGATCCATATCATGTGCTGCCCGAGGTGAGAGGAGGGAGGAGAACCGAACCCACCATTGCCGCGGCCGGATTAGAGGGCGGGATCTGGGATGGGAAGTGGGTGGAAGGCGTGGATCAGGGCAACACCATGATTTGGTGTGCGGGGGAAAGGTCAAGGAGGCGCCCACACCGGATCTACACCGTCTTTGGGGCGCGCCAACAGATTTATCGAGGTCACCTGTTGAAAGTGGACCGGAGTTGAGGTTGTTAGGTGGTGGTGCCCGTGGGAGAGAGAGGAAGGGGGTGGCCGGGGGTGGCCACGTGGATCGAGCTCGTGCTCTCGCTTGGGGGATGCCGCCACTAACTAGGACCAGTGTTGATCTAAGTTCACGGAGCAAGAGAGGAGAGGGGGCGGCGGGCGCATGGCTCACTCCAACCAAGCGTTGGCGTGGGTGCAGCAGTACTTGGCGATGTCACGGTGGGGGAAGGGCGCGGGAGGAATGAGCGGGTGCAGAAATAAGCGGACGGTCCATCCGGACGTCTCGTATGTATCATTATCGTAGTACATATGTTATCTTATGTATTGGGTTGTCATTTTGATCGTCAAAACCACAAAGGAATATGGCATAAAGCCCATATTATCTACAGTTGTGCAAGAAGATTTGTTTGTGCAGCTTGTGACTAATACGACCTTGTTAAAGTAGGTATTGTATGAGTAAGAAATTATTAATTTGATGTACCGCTTGATAATTTTTTTTAGAAAAATAACGATATGTTACTATTAGTGGTTTTAGGCTGCAAAATTACTAGGATGGCAACAGAGTAGATTTGTTCGGGTGGAGCCTCCACACCCGCACCTGAAACCAGAATTTAAAACATAAATCTGTCCTAAACAGCCCCACTACGGACCCTACAAATTACCTCGACAACTGGCGAAAAACAACCCACGCAAAAGTATCATGGGTAGTAAGTGAGGGGCAAGGAGTACAAATTAGCTGCACCATCTGCCCATGGCACGCACGACCCATCTACATATTTAGTAGGCGTGTCGGGATGATGTTGCATAGAATGTTCGAATACTAATAAAAAAACAAATTACATAAACCGTTAGTACTCCACGGGATGAATTTTTTAAGCCTAATTAATCCGCTATTAGCACATGTTTACTGTAGCACCACATTGTCCAATCATGGACCAATTAGGCTTAAAAGATTCGTCTCGCAAATTAGTCGCAAACTATACAATGAGTTTCATAATTAGTCTATATTTAATACTCTATGTATCCAAACATTCGATGAGAGATCGACTAAAATTTAGAAGGGACAACCAAACACCACCTTAGCTACTCAAGCTGAGAAACAAACAGTACACAAGTCACACAGTTTGAGAAGAGAGATGCAATCATGCGGACTCCCGCTTCCTCTTCCTCTTCCCCTTCCCCTCTGCTGGTCTTCCTCGTCCTGTCAATAGTTTGTTATTAATACTTTTTGCGAGTTGATACATAGTCTTCTTTTTCATGGTTCAAAACAACATACTAAAAACAGTTAGCGCCATTTAGCTCCTAAACCAACCTTTGTGATATGATGGACAGGACTAGTGCTCAAGAATAAATGGAAATTCTGTAGATTATCAAACTGACCTTTACGGCATGAATCATGTGATTCCAGTTTTTCTTCAACGACAACCTCAGCAGCTGAAAAATCCTGCAATTACTGTCATCTAATAAGATTTACCAAATAGGCCGTACAGGTCTTTGCCCATTAACGATTCAACAAGTCACATGATTGCTTGACAACATTCCAGCAAAGCTTCATATGACTGGAGATGATCAGTACAATGTTTACAGGACATGAACAGGGATACCACTATGCCCCGCAACTATGGTGTGTAAAGTATTAGTCATAATGGAAACAAAGTGCAACAACAAGCATAACATGTAACAAACAGACTACATTTTACTGCAGATGGTGGCTGGGTAAGCAGGGACTTCAAACAAGTTTGGGCTAAGCATATATAACAGAGTTACTTTTTCACAATCTCCCCATGCTGCGATCAGCATGTCCCACCATCTGTGCTAAAGTTTTATAGGAAGCAAGATTACAAAGGACAACAAAGGAAGCCCTGATATCGTTTTATATAAAAATAACCACATGACAAGATATTTCATCAACGGTTTATTAACATGAAGAATTATGGTTGATTACCCAATTATTCTTCTTAAAAGGCTTACCAAACAGTAATTATGGTTTATTAACATACAAGGGGACATCCCTTGATGTATGCTTTTCGCGGACGATGTAGTGCTAGTTGATGAAAGCCGGATAGGAGTGAATCAGAAACTGGAGTTATGGCGGGAGACTTTCGAGTCCAAAGGTTTTAGACTCAGCAGAACTAAAACTGAGTATATGAGATGTGACTTCGGCACTACTACTCGGGAGAAGGAAGATGTTAGTTTAGAAGGTCAAGTAGTGCTTAGAAAGGATACCTTTCGATATTTAGGATCAATGCTACAGAAGGACGGGGACATTGATGAAGATGTTAGCCATAGAATCAAAGCAAGGTGGATGAAGTGGCGGCAAGCGTCTGGTGTCCTATGTGACAAAAGGGTATCACAGAAGCTAAAAGGCAAGTTTTATAGGACGACGATTAGACCTGCTATGTTGAATGATGCAGAATATTGGCCTACGAAAAAACGGCATGTTCAACAGCTAAGTGTCGCGGAAATGCGTATGTTGCGTTGGATTTGCGGTCATACAAGAAGGGATTGAGTTCGGAACGATGATATACGTGATAGATTAGGGGTAACGCCAATTGAAGAAAAGCTTGTCCAATACCGGTTGAGATGGTTTGGACATGTGCAACGGAGACCCCCAGAGGCACCGGTGCGTAGTGGAATCCTAAGCCAGGATAGTAACGTGAAGAGAGGCAGAGAAAGACCGAAGT